CTGTGTGTATCACAACGAACTGTGGAAAATTCAAGAGATGGTAATACCAGACCTGACCTCCCTCTTGAGAAATCTGTATGCATGTGAGGAAGTAACAATTAGAACCGGACATGGAACAACAGACCGGTTCCAAATTGGGAAAGGAGTATGTTAAGGCTATATGCTGTTACTCTGCTTATTTAACTTACATGCAGAGTACATCATGTGAAATATCATGATAGATAAAGCACAAGCTGGAATCAAGACTGCCGGGGAAGATATCAATAACCTCAGATACACAGATGACATCACCCTTATGGCAGAAATCAAAGAAGAACTAAAGAGCCATGGCAAATAGATGGGGAAACAATGGAAACAGTGACAGACTTTATTTTGGGGGGCTCTAAAATCATTTCAGCCATGAAATTAAAAGATGCTTACTCCTTGGAAGAAAAGCTATGACAAACCTGGACAGCATATTAAACAGCAGAGACATTGCCAACAAAGCTATGGTTTTTCCAGTAGTTATGTATGGATGTGAGAGTTGGACTATAAAGAAAGTTGAGTGCTGAAGAATTGATGCTTTAGAACTGTGATGTTGGAGAAGACTCTTGAGAGTCCCTTGGACTGCAAGGAAGTGAAACCAGTCCATCCTAAAAGAAATCAGTCCTGAATATTCTTTGGAAGGACTGATGCTGAGATGAAGCTCCAATACTTTGGCCACCTGATGCAAAGAACTGACTCATTGGAAAAGACCCTGACACTGGCAAAGATTGAAGGCAGGAGGAGAAGGGGACGACAGAGAATGAGATGGTTGGATGGCAACACCAACTCGATGGACTTGAGTTTGCACAAGCTCCAGGAGTTGGTGATAGACAGGGAAGCCTGGAGTGCTGCAGTCCATGGGGTCGCAAAGAGCTGGACACGACTGAGTTACTGAACTGAACTGAACTGGGCCAGGAGAAATACCAAACATGCAAGTTTGTGTTTCATTACTTCTGCACCCAAATGTTTATCACGGCATTATTTACAATATCCAAGATATGGGAACACCCTAAGTGCCACTGATGGATGTATGGACAAAGAAGATGTGGTATATATGCACAGTGGAATACTACTGAGCCATAAAAAAGATGAAACCCTGCCATTTGCAACACATGGATGGACACTGAGGGTAATATGCTAAGTGAAATAAGTCCGACAGAAAAGGACAAATACCATATGATTTCACTCACATTTGGAATATTAAAAATAAACAAACAAACCAAGTAAAAATAAACACATAGATACAGAGGACAGGTTAAGTGATTACCAGAGGGGAAGAGGAGTAGGGGGAGGGCAAAATGGGTAAATGAGGTCAACTTTATGGTAACAGATGGAAACTAAACCTTTGGTGGTAAGCATGCTGTAGCATATATCGAGGTAAAAATACAAGGTTGTACACATGAAACAGTAATACAAACCAGTGTTTGCTCAATTTTTAAAAAGCTTTAGTAAAAAATAAGATGACCAATATTCTGTTTTACTATATTGCAAGTTAATCAGCTATTAGGAAAAAAAGAAACTCCAACAGTATACTAGCAGAGTCCTTAAATACCATAAAATTATAGTTGAGTTTCCTGCCTAGAAAGCTTACAATTACTTGCCATAATACTTCCATTTTAGATCAACCCTACAACATAACCAAGGAAAACCTTTCAGTGGAGTTCTAAGCTCCTCATATCCTTTTTATGTTTTCATACACAGCTCATCAGTTTCCTCTCCAAGGCTGGATGATATTGCTCACCAACATGTGGCATACAAGATTCTAAAACAGCATGACAATTTTATGATTGACTCAGGTAATCATAGCTCTCCTGAGGGAAATCTGCTCTTCAGGCTCACCTCTCCTGCGTTTCTGCCATCCACAATCCCCCGTGGAGGAACCTCAGGCTCTTACACACTCAATTACACTCTACTCATTTATAGTGCCAAACAGTCATTCACATGAGGGCCCTCCACAAACATTACTGGATTATGCCAACTCAAGTGATTGATTCTGGACCTCTTAATGTGCCACCACTCTACGAACAATCCTTATATATCCAGTATAATTTCAGTTCTTCAAACAGGGCTCCTGATCCACACCTTGCATCTATTGTCTTCTGAGAACAAGCCTACGGCTAGAAGAGCCAACTACTGGAGAAAATAAACTCTAGACAGAAAATAGGTGAAACGTTACAGGTAACAAAGTTTAGCACTCACTCACAGGGAGCACCATCAGTGTGAAAATCTAATTATTCTGCATGACTAAAAATGTCCTTAAATCATCATCAAAAAAACTAAGATGGCTATGATCCACCTGGAAAATCTCACCAGAATGCAAACTCTGATTCAGGTAACCTGAGATGGGGTCCGAGATTCCACATTCCTAACAAGCTCCCAGGAACTGCTAATGCTGTTCAAAGCTCTGCTACTTAAAGTATGGTAAGGAAACAGCAGTATCAGCATCACCTGGGAGCTTGTTAGACCAGAATATGGAGCCCATGTCAGGTCTAAGGAAAGAGAATCTGCCATTCAATAAGGCCTCAGGTGATGAAAATGGATGGTAGAGAGCAGCTAACACACCATCTTATACTCACTGTTGATCAGAATCACCTGGGACTTCTCTGAATCTGATTCAGGTGGTCTAGGGTATTTCATTGTTCCTATGTTCATCTGTTTTTGGACATACCCAGACTTAGTGACTGAACAGCAGCAGCAAATGTGGTTCTCATGAACAGCCAGTGGTAAGAACCAATGAAATTAAAAATACTTAATTGAGTAGCTCTAGGTTGATAGAGCTATGGTTAATGGGTGAGGAATTTGAGGAAATGATGAAAATGTCCTAAAATTGATTATGGCAATGATTGTATGACTATGTGAATATACTAAAAATCACTGAATTGTACACTTTAAACAGGTCACTTGTACAGTACAGTATGTGAACTATATTTCAATAAAACTGTTAAGTAAAATTGTAAAACTCCAGTAGCTTTCCTATTTTAAAATAAGTAAATAACTTCTCCTGAATAACAATGAAGTGGAATTATTTCCTATCCCAGAACTCTGCCCCAAGAGTGTGAACCTCTTTCAAAAAAAGAGAACACAAATGCTTGCATGACCCATCTAGAAACATTAAGTCCTGCTCATTTACTCCTTAGGTTCAATCCCGGTTAAGGTAATGTATATTTTTAAAAGAAAAGCATATTTATCAATTTGGAAAAGTTTACCTTTCACACCCAGTTTCCAGTGTATTTTCAAAGAAATAATTTTCCTTTTGCTTCCCCAACTTAATGAGTTAACTAATAAGTTAACAATGAATTAACTAATCCATTGTACTACATTCTTCCAACTGTTCTATATTTTTTAAAACATTCAAAAAACATGTTAAGGGGACATCCCTGGTGGTTCGGTAGCTAAGAGTCTGTCCTGCAATGCAGGGAACATGGGTTCAATCCCTCATTGAGGAACCAAGATCCCACATGCTGTGGGGTAACTGAGCCCACAGAAACTCGATAATATGCTCATAAAAATAAAGGAGATGGTAAGTAGCACTAAACTAACAGGAAGGATCACTGTAATATATGAGACACTGTTTACTTACTATCAAAAGGAAAGTACTATACATGTATGTAACAGGTGCTATATATTAGGAGAGGCATTCATGGCTTCTGATAGCAGTGGTGTCAAATGCTTGAAACTGCAGGTTTTATATGCTCAAGCCAATGACAATTCCCAAGTATGGTCTACTTTCCCTATTGGATCACCACAGCCTATGTAAGTCATTTTCCCCCAGAACCAGTGCCCTTGTTTAGGGGTGCCATGCATTCATTCTTTATAAACAGGTATATTCTAGATGCATCACTGAACAGATTTTTTAGGACAATATACACTGATTATGGGACATCTTCTGGCATCCTCTACTAAGTGGGAGCCCCTCTCTTATGAAATGACTTTCTAGGACCTTCAGGGCAATGGTTAAGGTCACCTTCACAAGTAAGTATGCCTTCCCCTGCCCAAACTCTCCCATAAAATTCAATGCACTTCACTGGAACTATTGCTATATATATATATATGTATATATATATATATACACACACACACACACTATGTTACATTCTATGGCCTCCTGCAATGCATGCAGATTCTTTACTCTCTGAGCCACCAGAGAAGCCCCATATCAGCCAGTTCAGTCCAGTTCAGTCACTCAGTCGTGTCCAACTCTCTGCAACCCCATGAATCACAACACGCCAGGCCTCCCTGTCCATCACCAACTCCCGGAGTTTACTCAAACTCATGCCCATCGAGTTGGTGATGTCATCCAGCCATCTCATCTTCTGTCATCCCCTTCTCCTCCTGCTCCCAATCCCTCCCAGCATCAGGGTCTTTTCCAATGAGTCAACTCTTCTCATGAGGTGGCCAAAGTACTGGAGTTTCGGCTTCAGCATCAGTCAGTCCAATGAACACCCAGGACTGATCTCCTTCAGGATGGACTGGTTGGATCTCCTTGCAGTCCAAGGGACTCTCAAGAGTCTTCTCCAACACCACAGTTCAATATATAATAACAACAAAAAGGCAAATCAATGCTGTTAATTACTGACCCTGCCTTGGGTAATAACCCTTGGCTAGTCCTGTTACTTTTTACAGTGAGGAAGTTTACCTTCCTGCTTTCAATACATTTGTTCAATGAACTTCAGTTTTCACAGTATTGGGAAGATGATTCTATATCCCAGATCAAAATGAATGACCTGAATTTTGGACCAAAGATTCCAGTTCCAAGGAAGCTAGCTGAAAGCCACAGTGATGATACTCAGCATACAACAGATAGTCAATTCTATCTCAATCCTGAGTGTTGGAAATACTAACTTCCTGAGAGGTTAAGACTCACAGTCTCTGAGAACGTAAATAACTAATTCTTAATGAATTAGCATGTTTTAATTCATAACTTATTTAACAATTCGCTTAAAAAAAAGTTTCAAAAGAAAGGAGAAAAGGCTTACCTAATATTATATATATCCTGAATGTTCTTCTCCCCACTGTGTCCTTCCTTAACAGCTTGCATTTGTAATAGTTTCATAATGGCTTTAATCAAGCCATGTGTATTTCTGTAAAGAAATATAACAGCATGTCAAATGTTATAAAGTGAACAGTCTACTCAGGTACTTAATCCTACCACTTTTGAATAGTTGAATACTTACCACCCACACTGAACAGCAGCCATCCGCATACACCTAGCTTATTCCATAGCACAGCCAAGAAGAGCCCCACAAGCGCCCATTCAACACAACGAAAGGAGGAGAAGCGAAGCCAAAGAATCAAACTACCAACCTATCTATCACCTCACTACATACACTTGGGGGAAAATCAATCAGGGAAAAGCAAACATTAGCCCACATAATTGCAGGCAGTGACCACATCAATTACCCACACTGAATAATCAAATCCTTCATTTATAAATATTAGCAGACCATGAAAAAAAATGAGACAGGTGAAATGGAATGACCACTCAAAAAAAAGTGGGCTAGGGGACCAATCAGAGCAAATAACCCCCATTAAAACAAAGTTAATGGGAACAGGGAATAGAAATTTAAGTTTTCTCCTTATTCTCTGTAAGAAGCAGCAGGATAATAAATCAGAAAAAAATGGCCTGCTTTTTAAATTTTTTTTCCTGTTACTAATGTTTTCTAACTATTAAACAGGATTTTATTTCAGCTTTCGTGAGGTAAAACTAACAAAAACAACTGTAATATAATGTGTACAACATGATTTACGTGTGCATTTTAAAATGGTTGCCATAATCAAGTTAATTAACACATATATCACCTCACATAGTTACTTTTTATTTTTCATTTTTTTGGGTAAAATGCTAAATACTCTTAGCAAATTTCAAGTACACAATACAACACTGTTGACTTTAGTTACCATGCTGTACATTAGATCCTCAGAACTTAATCATAACTGGAGGCTTGTATCTTTTGACCATTATCTCCCCATTTCTCCTACCTACCCCTGGCAACCACCATTTTACTCTCTGCTTCTATCTGTTCAATTTCTTTTTTTAGATTCCACATATAAGTGGTACCATGTGGTATTTATCTTCCTCTGTCTGGGTTATTTCACCTAGCACAATGCTCTCCAGGTTCACCCATGTTGTCACAAATTACCCTGATCTCTTTAAATAAGATTCCCCCTGGGAATGAGAATGAAATAAAGATTATTTGCTAAATGAAAAAAAAAATATTGTAAAAATCATAGCTGTTAATAATTATGGAGCATCTATTGTAAGCTAAGTACTCTCTTAAGTGCTTAACATGTATTATGTCATTACTATCCAGAAATCACCGCTAACCTTACTGTAGGGCTAGGACAAGACCTGGACTTAATTAATAAAAGTCATTTAGGACAATTATGTTGAGATGTTATTTACTGTACTCTTTTATGGCATTTAAAGTTTTACAACTGGTAAAAGGTTTGGCCATGCTGTCCAATATAGTGGCCAGTGGACACACCTGGCTACTGGGCTACTGAGCCCAGTGTGGCTAATCCACACTGCGATGTGCTGTAGTGTAAAGTACACGCCGTATTTAAAAGACTTAGGGTGACCCAGTCACCTGGTGACCCAGTGGTTGAAAACGGCCTGCCAGTGTGGGAGTCACGAGTTTGATCCCTGGTCCAGGAAGATCCCATGTGCCAAAGAGCAACTAATCCCATGCACCACAATGAGAGAGGCCATTGAAGTGGGAAGCCCAAGCCCAGCAAGGAAAAGGGGCCCTCACTCGCGGCAACTAGAGAAAGCCCACACATCAAAGAAGACCCAGCAAAGATGAAAATAAATAAACAAGAGCAATAAAATATACTTTAACAAAAAGACTAAGAAAACAAAAACAGACTGTAAAATATCATATGTAGTTTTTTATATTGATTACATCTTGATTACATACATATTTTTGATATGTGAGGTTTCACAAAAGAGATTATTAAAGTTAATACCACTGGTTTCTTTTAACTTTGTAATGTGGCTACTAGAAAATTTTGAATTATATATGTGGTTCACACTTGTGGCTCAGAATATATTTCTATTTCACAGTACTGCTAAAGACACTCTGGGTTTATTTCCTAAGTAGATTCTTTGGTGAGCAGTGAGGTTTCTCTTGCAGTTGAAGCATTTCCCACAATCTACACAACAGTATGTTTTCTTTTCCACATGGCTCCTCTTATGACCATGCAGTGTACATTCATGAATGAGTGTTTTGTGACAGGCATCACACAAGCATGGTTTCTCTCCTATGTGGATCCTCTGGTGAAGAGAGACGTCTCAACATTGCCTAAGTCTGTTCCCTAAGATTCTCTTTCCTGTGAGTTCTTTGCTCTATGTCAAACCGAGGTTTAGCTTTTCTCACATACCCTATATTGGTGTTATGTCAATTCCACTTTGCTTTCACTAAAAATATGGCCAGTGAATCCCACTGTGACTCAGTGAAAATTAAAAAGTAAATTTTTTAAAAACTATTGGGAAGTACAGTTGTCTTAGAAAGGTCTGATGGCATGGCATCCCCTTGGGAACAGAGGTTCTGTCTTCACGTTCTTCCCTCATGACTGCTCAGATTCTTCCAGGAGCCCCAGATTCTTCCAGGAGCCTTCTCTGTTGACACTCTTGAGTTTCTAGAGTCCTCTTACTCTAAAGCTTAGGAAGAAGATATCTTAACATCCAAACATTCAGAATAAATTCCTTCTTTACAATTCCTCACACCATTCACTTTTACAGAATGAGACCCATCCTGCAGCTAAGGACCCTGGACTTTAAGAAACGGTATTTTCCAGTCTATGCTCCAGCTCTTCACAAGTCTGCACACTTTCCTTTAGCAAGATCTAGAGATCCTTCAGAATGGAGATTGTAACTGATTATATCACTAGTTTTATCAAGAACCTATTAGGGTGGGAAGGTCTGATCTCAGTCACAGAGGGCTTTTAGCAGCTCCTTGGAGCTTCAGGGGGATTCAATTCCTCCAAATACGCAAATTGGCTAAAGCTAACTATCAGGCCTCAATGCTACAATCTTGCTTTTTGAAAGTTCAGTTCAGTCCGGTCACTCAGTTGTGTCCGACTCTTTGCGACCCCATGAATTGCAGCACGCCAGGCCTCCCTGTCCATCACCAACTCCCGGAGTTCATTCAAACTCATGCCCATCGAGCTGGTGATGCCATCGAGCAAAAACCCTACAACTCTGACCCAAGCCAGTGCCTAGATTTCCTACAAGACCATGAAATCTCTGGTCTATACCTATGTCTAGCAGACAAATTCTAATCATCACTGAGTCAGTGAGCAGTTCCAGATTCCTCTGCCTGAGTGAGACTACCACCGGAGGTCTACTGTGGTTTTTTGCCTTGGTGAGAGCAACACTATGTGTTCAGAATTTTCCTTGTCTTCTCATCTTCAATGTTTATGCAACTGACGATCAGCTTTAAAGCTGATTTCAGCTAAAAATAACCCCATTTATATATGGATGAAATGGAGATGGAAAAAGTCTAGACCTCACCTAGTAACCTCATAAGACCACTCCCTGGGCCTAATGATGAGTTTAAAGGGTACTCATATTAAATGATCAGTATTGATTGAATTTCTGGCTGAATTTCTTCCATGAAATATGAATTCATTAAATAATCCCTTTTTGTATGTAAAACTAAATTGGTTTTCCTTATCTAATGATTTATTTGTCATATGAATAGTTTTAGAGAAGATGGATAACAGACATGATTTTTAACCAACTGGGGTCACTTATTTCTTTGTGAAAGCAGTACAATCACACAGAAATCACACACATCCTATGTACATTTAATTCAAGGCATTTCCAAGAACCACTGTGGCCTGTAAATTTTCAGCTTTTCTAAATCTTTAAGCTATACCTTGATTTTATTTGTGGGCTGAGATTTTACTATGTGGATAACTGAATCCATACTATATTTTAAGCAAGAGTGTATGTAACATGAATAGATTATGAATTTTGAAAGATGATGGCATCAATAAATCATGTGTAGATCCATTCAAGTAGTAAAGCAGTTGCCTTAAATTCAATTGAATAATTTCTTAAATTTTTAAATATTTCAAGTGGGCTGAGGGATGGATGGTTTCAGATTTTCATTTAAATCCCTGCTTTAATTCAAATTAACTGGGAAATGTTGGGCAAGTCACTTAATGCCAACATTCTCATCTGAGCAACTTGGAATCATAATAATCAACTCAATCTTATGTTGTTTTAAAGAATAAATTAGTGTATGTCAGTAAAGTGTCTAGTTATTTTTTTGATAAATCAATAATCTAATACTTATACCGTTAAGATTGCAATGTTTCTCCCTTTGTAAGGTTATGCAAACAAAAGTGTCAGAGTTCATGAATGCAAAAACCTAGAACATTCCTAAAACTAATACGGTTACGTCATAAATGCCTAAATCCTAGCATTTTCCATCTTTCTTCACAAAAACCTCTTTCTCTTGTTTTCAAGCCTTTGTTACTCTGCATCTGAGATTTGCTGTTACAAAATTCAGTTCAGTTCAGTCATGTCTGACTCTTTGCAACCCCATGAACCACAGTACGCCAGGCCTCCCTGTCCATCATCAACTCCTGGAGTTCACCTAAACTCATGTCCATTGAGTCGGTGATGCTATCCTTTAGGAGACAAAAAGAATAAAAGAAAAGCAGGCCCCAGCAAGGGCCGCAAAAGAAATTTATAATTATTGATAAACTGGATGCTATAAGGCATGAGACACTTGGAACAAGTCCAGAGGGAACAGCTCATAGTCTTGAAAACAAGATATGATCCTGGGGTCAGAAAACTGACCCCAGACTGTTTCTCAACTGGCGTTTCAGAGTCACACGTTTTATGTATCTGGTGGAAAATCTATAGATAAGACTATTAGTCATAGTTACTGATTTGTTATTGATTACTGTTTCCTAATTACTCAATGGTTAATGATCATTTTGTTCTTTGGCCCCAAAGGCCATATGAGTTATAGTTTAACTCCCCACATATTCTTTCATTCACGGCTCAAAGCATAATAAAGCTGGCTTGGATTCAGTTTCGGCACCTTCACCTTGGAGCGGTGTTGGT